CATATTAATACAGAACTTTTCCTGACAAATTATAGTATAAGCAATTTGAGTGAAAAGGTGATCTGAAAAAAAACGAATAATTATCACATAATTATTAAAAAGGATAATGATTAATTTTATTGTGATTTCTTTATTTAAAAATTAGAAAAATCCTGAAACTTGATTTTATATTCTTTTATTTTTTATTTTTACCATATTTAAATTACATTCCGAATCCCATATTCCTGGAGACTTTTGGACTCCACTAGGTGCATGCAGATTTTGGATTTATCTCTGACATTATATACATAGTTTACTTAAAGGAATGACTTAACATTATTAAACTTGACATTTTCAACGTGGCATTGATGCTGCTTTATTGTATATGGTTGTCAGTCTAAGGCTGTTATACAACAGTAACAACCAAGATTTTCCTGTTTATCATTTCTGATTTTATGTCTGGCACTTTCATCTATTTGGAAAGATCGAGACGTATGCTGTGGGTAATGAAAGAACTGATCACTGTTGCCCTACTGCACACCCTGTCTCATATACCAAAGAGAGTCCCTTTTGTAATTAATCCTGGCAATTACTGGCAGCTGTGTTAGTAATAAGATAGGGTTTTAAAAATTGGACATTTGGCTTAGAGGAGGCAATGCAGCATATTTTTTGACTTTTGAATTTCCATGTTCCTGTCTATATTCTGTATGTTTTATTTTTTATTTTTACCCTTCTACTTGCTTCCTTTGTTGTGTCCTGTGACACTTGATATGTTTGTTTTGAGCTGAGCCTTATGTAGCTCTCTAGTGTGTGTCATGGCACTGTGATACTGTAAAGTTATTTTTTGATTTTCCTCCCTCCCTCTTTCTTTTGTTTTTGTGGTCTTTTGTGACTTCCTGGCGTGAACGGGGCGTGGGCTGTAACTTTCCTTTCATCGCACTAGTCTTACAGATATATGTTCCCGCTTGCAGTGTCAGTATGTATGCATTAACACTAAGTGATAACGTCAGACTATAAAAAAGGATGATAAAATCAGGGAAAGGCTCACAAAAGATATAGTGAATGCAGTGTATTTTTCTTTTGTCTGCTGCTGAGGTGGTTGGCTAATTTGTATGCTGTGTTTAATCATTACCGTATTTAATGTGTTGCTATTCGCTTTAAAAAGTAATTTCAACTGTAATTTAATTACCTAAAAAAACTATTTTTAAAAGTTTTAGTCTCTGTTTAAATATGGAAGCTTGTTTCTGCCATGGGATTAAAAATAAAACAGGTAACTTAGACTAAATAGACTTTTTATTTTTCTCACAATTGCGAGCGAATGAAGTCAGAATTGTGAGATACAATTCAATTACAATTGTGCGGTATTAAATAGCAATTCTAAGTAGAAATGTTGGAATTGTGAGAAATAAACTTGAAATATCCAGAAAAAAAGTCATAATTGTGAAATAAAGTGTTTCTTAAAGACTTTTTAAAAAAATTTTTATCCATGTTGGAAACAAAAAAAAAAGTCAGAATTGTGAGAAAAAAAAGTCTGCCTTTTTTTTTACCTTTTTGTTTTTTATCACATGACAGAAACAAGCTTTCATATTTAAATGATTTTTAAACTATTAAATGCTAAACTATTTTTACTATCTCAGCTCACTATATGGTTGCTCTACTTATCAAATGATTAGATTAGTATTGTTTTTCACCAGTACAAGACAGGATACCCAATAGAGTCAGCTGCGCGTGTTGAGACGGATCTGCACACCACTGGTTTATTATAGCCCAGAATGGGTTCCTTTGGGATCTTACATGTAGCTAGTCCAGGTTATGATGCCAGCGGCCCAAGGACAGAGAAGATGAATAGATGGATTCACAAGAGGGATGGTTTCTTGCAAGGTTAGCGTATCAGTACATCCTCACATCCCCCACATGTGCTGTGTCGTGCTTATTCAGGACCAGGTTTTCATGAAAGAGCTGCCATCTGGGCTGCATTTCCCGAAACCTTCTTAACGCTACGTCATTCTTAAGTTATACCTTAAGCTGTAACTTATTGTTAATATGTGTTTCCCGAAATGTTCTTAGCTAAGTATACCTTCTGTAAGTCATAATTTCGTAAGGTTGGTCTGGACCAGTCGTAGCTATAACTTATCACTGTTGACAGTTCACAGTTCTTTACATCTCAGTCTATACGAATACAGTTCTGAAGTTGTAATACACCCAGTGTTCAATTAGGCTAACTGATGTGATTTCATGCAAATAATAAAACATTAGACTGATGATGGTTACCTTTTTTATTATATTATGCAAAGGTACATCATCTGGCAAACCATTAGGTTTAGGAACTAAGTAAAGGCTTAGGAGTTTATTTAAAGGGAATGATTGTGGTGGGAAGTTTGGTCAAACTATGGCAGTGATACTCCGTCTGCGGAGCCATTTGGTATACGTGCACTAAAACTTTAGTCTCCTGGCTACCATGTCAGAAGCTGCAATTCTAAAAAAATAAATGTTGCCTGCCACAACAGCAAATTTAGCAGCTTAGATCTTGTTGGTCCGACTTTGTTGAGACGAACTTGACGGAGCTAACCCCTCAGCTCCCAAATCCAGCTGCTGGCGGCTCTCCTCTTTCTCTCTTTCTCTCTTTTTTCTCTGCCATAGTAGCTGTTGATTACCGTATTGACCCGAATATAAGACGATGTTTTTTTCTTGGAAATAAATCTGAAAAAATGCAGTCGTCTTATTTTCAGGTTCTAGACTTTGACATGTCAATAAAATACCCACAACAATAGGTGGCACCAAATATGCATAAAACGAGTGTGCCATGAAATACGTAATGTAATGCGTGTTGTAAAGATCGCGAGTAAAAACAAAAGAGAAAGAAAACCTTACAGCTGCATGAGTCGTGACTGTCACGTTAGCCTGATGGGACCAAACTCACTTTGTGATTTTAAAATGTAAGACAGTACCCAGATTTGAAGACTACATTAAGATTTAACTTCTGCTCTTAATAAGATTTTGGTCGGCTACTATTAGATGGATAGCCTATATATAGTGCCGTCAAACGATTAATCGTATCCAAAATAAAGTTTGTGTGTACTGTGTATATTTATTATGTATATATAAATACACGTGCATGCATGTATATATTTAAGAAAATGTATATATATAAGGATTTCTGAAGGATCATGTGGCACATAAAGGGATAGTTCAGTACTTTTTTTGTGCGCAAAGAAAACAAAAATAATGAGTTAATTCAACAATTTCTTCTCTTCCATGTCAGTCTTTGACGTGCATTCACTAGAGTACCACGACGCATGTGTGTGCATTCCTCTGCTTGTAAACAAGGTGCAGCGCATCCGTGTTCTACGTCAGAATGCATCACTCCTGCATCAGCAGCACCACATGCATGTGTCGGGGTACTCTCATGAATGTGCATCGATTGACATGGAAGAAAGTTCTTTGCGCACAATAAGTATTCTTGTAGCTTCATAAAATTAACGTTGAACCACTGATGTCACATGGACCATTTGAATGATGTCCTTACTACCTTTCTGGGCCTTGAACGTGGTAGTTGCGTTGCTAGCTCAGAAAGCTCTCGGATTTCATCAAAACTATCTTAATTTGTGTTCTGAAGATGAAGGAAGGTCTTACGGGTTTGGAACGACATGAGGGTGAGTAATTAATGACAGAATTTAAATTTTTGGGTGAACTATCCCTTTAACACTACAATAATAACTGGTGAAAATTCAGCTTTGCCATCACAGGAATAAATCACATTTTAAAGTGCATTACAATAGAAAACAGATATTTAAATGTCATACTATTTCACAATATTACTTTTTAACTGTATTTTTGATTAAATAAATGCAGCCTTGGTGAGCATAAGAAACATTACAAAATCTTACCAACCTCAAACTTTTGTACGGTGTTGTATTGCCTTAAAGATGCTCCACAATCTCTATGGAAATCCTGCCCCATTCCTTATAAAAAGACCTCTGTCCTGTATGACACCAATATACAGCCCCTTTAAAACACTTTTTTTCTTGTTAATTGGACACTTACATTAAGAAGCCTCTCAGCAGGCTTTTTTTTCTGAAAGCCCCACTCACAGCCCTTTTAAAACTCATGTCTCCGTGTTTATCATTACCTTAATGTGATTAAGCTTTTTAAGGATGACCTCAAAAAAAGATGAAGGACACCAAAGAAAGAGACATAGGAAGATGTAAAAAGAAGAAATAGTACATTCAGTTTTTGCAGGTTTTCTTGTTAGTCTTTTGTTTGCTTCTGCTGCAAATGTCAATATGTGATGATTACGCTGTCAGGTTTGATTGTTCTCCTTTTAAACCAACACCGGTTTTGATAATGGAATACAAGCTCGTTTCCAAAAATGACAGAATCAATTTTCTACCCAAGATTATTCTTGGAAACAGCCACATGGATTTTAAAGTAAACACAGAAGCTGTATACTAGATGAATAAATGGAATGAGAAGGTAGCATTTAATTTGTTTTAGTTATTGACAATGTCAGTTTGCTTGAGACATTTGTGCATTACAATTAAGTATTTGGACTGTGTGATGTACAAATTGTATTCCTTTTCACAAATTCAAAAAGGCACAGTGAAAGATGTGAGTGTAACACCTTGTCAACAACATTAATTGTTCATCAAAACAAAAATAAACAAATTGGAATTGATATCTCATTAAATATTTGTTTCAGTTTGGTATTACGATTCAATCTGAGAAGATTCACACAAGTGTTTTTGTACAAAAATATTTCCCGGTCTTAGAATTACAGTATGTAGTTCCCCCATCAGTCCTGCTTTCAGCCTCTGGTATAGGTGTTTTGGAGAACATTTTACTAAGATATTGTAAGAACATTTCACATTGACATCCTAACACTTGTTTTTACCTCTGTTGCTTTTTGTAACAGGAATATAATAACCGCTATTTGTATAGAAAGTAAGAAAGGCTCAATATGTCTCAACTCCCAATCTCTCTCTCTTCTTCTTTTTTCTTTCTGATCTCTATCATTTATTCAGGGCTGAGCCTATCCTCACAAGAGTGAAAGAAGATCACACTAGGATAATCCTCCCTGCGATAGATAATATCAAGTACAACACCTTTGAGGTGCAGCAATACGCTAATGCAGCTCATGGCTACAACTGGGGCCTCTGGTGCATGTACATCATCCCACCACAGGATTGGTTGGACAAAGGCGATGAGACTGCCCCCATCAGGTAAGGGCATCCAGTACTCCACTCCATAATGCATGAGGACATTCTCTGAAATATAAATGACCAGGGATATTAATATTTTAGAAGTGATAAGGTGGCGTTGGTTTCCTGGATGTGCAATAAATGTATTCATGTTTTGGCTTCCTTGAAGGATTTGTCGGTGTTATTTCAAACAGTGCAGAAAAAACTTTTCAATCCTCATTTAAGGGGTTGCACGGCCATGCTTAAAAACTACCATGGATTACCACAGTTTGACATAATTATTTGGGATATTTCTGGTGTCTGGCCTAGACGACAATGTGCTGCTACTCAGAGCTTTAGTTCAAACTGTTGTAACAACAAAATCGTGGGTAAGGTTTGATTCCCATGGAATGAATGAACTAATAAAATGTATACAGGATAAAAGTTCTGACTTTACGAAACTCAGTTCAAACTCGGAAACCCAGAAGAACCACAACAACCCAGATTTTAGCACATCAATAAGTGAAACATAGTAATATATTGTTTATTAGCACTTCTGTTTGTCTGTCTCAGTTTCACTCGGAGTTTAATCAACGACAACAAAAAGGAGATTAATTACAAATGATTGGAAGATACTGATTTAGTATTCATAGCAAGGTGATGTTGTCCAGCCCTACCACACTGCTATTCTCAATCACCTCTACCTCTACAGTGAAATACTAATTTTATGCTTAAAACCAACTTGGTGAAATGAGCTTTGGTAGAGCTCAGTCCTAAACCCATGAGAGCAGTGGATATACCCTGCCAAAGGAGAGTGGACTTTTTCATTTTGTATGAAATCTGGTGAAAGTCACTATTGTGTGAGAGTATCAGGACAGCAGAAATCCCATTCATTATTCATGTCTCTGACTGATAGCTATTTGGAGTGAGAAACTAGGCCTGTAGCCCAATATTACTGGAGCTGATCCTTGTGATGCCTCATATTGGTTACTGAAAAGTTTTTATTATTATTATTATTATTATTATTCTTTTCAGTAATATCTAATATCCTAAGAGCCTTTGATGTGCAGAGCAAGGGTGATCTCATTCGTTTTCATAGCTGTTCATACCTAAAGTGTATACTTACATTTTTGTATGTAGCACGTAGCATCTAAAACATAAACATTTCTTGTGTATAGTATATTAAACTTTAGAAACACAAATCTTTAAGAATACCATCACAGTTTAAAAATATAAATATGTAAATGTACTTATTAAAGTCATTTGTTTGTATAGCTGAATTTAATTGTCATTCAAGCTCAAAAAGCATGAAATATAAGTGTTGATTTTGGATGTGTGTGCTCTATCACAATATCTTTTTAGAAATTAGGCCAATGCACATATTGGAAATTTACTATAAATATAATCAACCTATGTATTATGTACTAAAACATCTTTTAAAGTAAAAAAATGTAAAATAAAATTTTTTGTTAACATTTGACAGATGCTTTTATCCAAAGCGTATTTAAGGTATAAATGTTTTATCAGCAAGTGTGTTCCTTGGGAATTAAACTCAGGACCTCTGTGTATCTAGCGTCATGCTTCACCTGATGAGATACAACTTTAGGATCTAAATTAGGGAATTTTTCCAAACTAATTTAGCCCTTGCGCTGTGCTTAAAATCCTTTACCTAATTTGACTTTTTAAAAATTGCTGGTAAATCTCTTATTATGCTATATTATCAGCAAATCTTGGATTCAATCTTTTTGTCAACTTGTTTTCATTCAATGAGCTCAAGTTTTGTTATTTCTTTTTTAAAGTGATTGTGAGGTCTCATTGATTTGGACATATGCACCTCAGTTTTTGAGTGAAAAAAGCTTTATTTGTGGATCATTTTGGCAAAGAAAATCCTCTCCAGGTCAAAATGACCGGAACACAACATGAGGGTTAGACTAATATGATTAATCTCTCCAGATCGATTCCTACTGTATCACATATATGTGACCTGACGTAACAATATAAGTTAAATTTTTGAACAAAATCTCATTACAGAAAATGCAGCAGTCATTGTCCATGCAACCTTTTTCTCAAGTACTGATATTGACAGGTTAAAATGGCCGCAGGCCTGCAGTGTGTCAATGAGGTTCGCTATTGGAAATCATTCCAGCTCCACTTCTCTCAAGCTCTCGATGTATCCACTGCAGCTCAGCTAGCCTGTGGCTATTCAGCACTGAGGATCCCAATACTCATAGCACACTGCAGCAGGGTTTATTTGAATGATTCATGTTTACTGTTAAATGAAGGACAGTCCAGTTCAAATGTCTGTAAATAAGCAATTAGTTGCTCTAAGGGGAGAAACGCAGTGATTTCATATGATATTCCACATGAACACTTCTCAGAACAACCACCATGGTTAGGCTGTGAACATACAGTGCTTATCAAAAGTGTAGGATTTTATGATGTTTTGCTTTGTACTTTGTTGCTTTGTTGTACTTCAATGCAATAACTAGTATTTTTCCCACATTTTATGCTGACGAAAGTGTTTTATTTATCTATTCATAAATAAGAAATTAAAGACCTGCTGTTATATGAAAAAAGTTATTATTTTGAACAGAACAAATATAAAAAAACAATATACATTTACACTTACAAAAGCAAGTTTGTGAAGAGTTTGTCTGACAAAATAATATTTTTCTGTTGATTGTTACAGATGGGGCAAATTAATTCCTTTGTGGTTCAGTGTTGTTAGAAAATAAAACATTCCAAGGGTGTGAATATTTTAGTCAATGTATTTGACTGCAAGAGCAAAATAAAAAAGAATACATTAAATAATGTGCATATCAATACTGCCAAAAAGAATATCACGTATGGCACAGGCTATTCTTGCAATGAAAACATTTATTTTCAAACTATCTGCTCTTTGCAAAAGTATTTGTAAATGTGATGTACTAAATCACAATTAAATCAGTATTGGAATAAGTTAAATATTTTCCTTAAGACAGCACTGTTTATACAAAGTATAAATATATATAGCAAATGATGACAAAATAAACATTTGAAAGAAGATAAATGGTCTATGCTTAATTTCATGAAGTGTGTGATTAATCGCGATTAATCACAGAAAAAGGATGTGATTAATTAGATTTAAAAATGTTATCGATTGACAGCCCTAATAAATAAATAAATAAATATATACACACATATATATATATAGGTATCATATATCTCATTTGAACCTACTATTATTATTTGTACATTTTAATCATTAATGTTTCTGCGGTTGTCACATAGCGACATTTACTTTGAACTTCTTGGAAGGCGTTTTGAATTCAGTGTATCTCTGACCTGAAAAAATAGGGATAACTGCCGTCTCAGCAGACTGCCATGTGTGGAGTTGTTTTAATATTACACACTGAAGAGAAAGAAACCTAGTGGGAATACAGGGAGAGTGGGAAGAAAGAGAGTAGCACATACAAAAACAAATAAACACTTTTCTCTACTATGTGCATGATTACTCTCACCGCACAGTCTCTCAGTGGTGTGTATTTCTGTTTAAACACACATTTATCGATTGACAGCCCTAATAAATAAATAAATAAATATATACACACATATATATATATATAGGTATCATATATCTCATTTGAACCTACTATTATTATTTGTACATTTTAATCATTAATGTTTCTGCGGTTGTCACATAGCGACATTTACTTTGAACTTCTTGGAAGGCGTTTTGAATTCAGTGTATCTCTGACCTGAAAAAATAGGGATAACTGCCATCTCAGCAGACTGCCATGTGTGGAGTTGTTTTAATATTACACACTGAAGAGAAAGAAACCTAGTGGGAATACAGGGAGAGTGGGAAGAAAGAGAGTAGCACATACAAAAACAAATAAACACTTTTCTCTACTATGTGCATGATTACTCTCACCGCACAGTCTCTCAGTGGTGTGTATTTCTGTTTAAACACACACAGTTTCTACTTTACATATGACTTCTGGCTCATCTCACTCCCACTCAACAGAAATTCGTCATGCTCTGTGAAAGGGCAGATTCTGCAACCTTTGATTCGTAAATGATTTCCAGTCAACTTCTCTCTCTGAGAGTTTTTAATTCATCACCACTTCTTTCCCCAGTCATATTCAGAGTCAGCCATCCATCCATCATCCACTCATTCATCCATCCATCTATCTATCTATCTATCTACAGTGGGGAAAAAAAGTATTTAGTCAGCCACCAATTGTGCAAGTTCTCCCACTTAAAAAGATGAGAGAGGCCTGTAATTTTCATCATAGGTATACCTCAACTATGAGAGACAAAATGAGAAAAAAAAATCCAGAAAATCACATTGTAGGATTTTTAAAGAATTTATTTGCAAATTATGGTGGAAAATAAGTATTTGGTCAATAACAAAATTTCATCTCAATACTTTGTTATATACACTTTGTTGGCAATGACAGAGGTCAAACGTTTGCTGTAAGTCTTCACAAGGTTTTCACACACAGTTGCTGGTATTTTGGCCCATTCCTCAAGAGCAGTAATGTTTTGGGGCTGTCGCTATGTCATTCCATCCATCCAGTCTGTCCGTCTGAATATGAATGCAAAGCCTCATGTATATTTCTTTGTCTTGTACACAGGACACCTGCAATGATTGGTTGCTCCTTTGTAGTGGATCGTGAGTATTTTGGAGAAATTGGACTGCTTGACCCAGGCATGGAGGTCTATGGAGGAGAGAACATTGAATTGGGTATGAGGGTAAGTAAGATCCTTTATAAACTCATGTCATTATTTGCCTTAGATGAGTGAAGTATGGTGATGTAAACATTTGCACATAAAAACATTTTAAGTTGTAGTAGAGACAAATAAGTATCTGCCTGGTTAATTCTGTTTAGTTGAGACATTCAAAGTCCAGTGTATTCACGTAATTGGAATCCATTGAGCATGGAGCTGTTTTAGCATATGAGACCCTCCAGAAATTACAATTCACGATTGTTGCCACTCTCTCTGTAAATTCACAGGTGACATTATAATTAACTCTATTTACAAAGCTTCGGAATTTGACATACATTTAATTACATTTCTTCTAGGCATCATTCTAGAGACTGTCGGGGGGTAAACATGCAGATTTCCCCTCCATCAAGGAGTAAATGCGTTGCCCAAAGGAAATGAAAGTACTCAGTGCCAAATTACACAAGCTCGAATGCTTTAAAGGCAGTGGGGTACAAAGAAAGTAGATTCCTGCAGCTGCAGCCCTGAGAGAAATTTCATGGGCCACATGGTCTGTGAGCCAATGGAGAATTGAACTTGTTTCAATTCAGAAGCTGTTCTTTCTATGGGGTGTCGAATATCCTTGGAAGATTAGCATAATTTGGATAAAAATCTTTCATTCATTTTAAAGATTCATTGCCAATGTTGGTTGACAGAATTGTCTTTTCAGCCTGATTATAGATTGAATTATGGAGACGAATAGTACTGTTTGAAACGTTTGATTGGAGACTGTTTCAATTGTCTGTTTGTTAAGTCTCAGTGACAGTTGATACAAAAGCAGACTGAGTCACTTGTAGTTTTCTTTGCAGTTAGGCTTTTCATTTGAAATATAAATTGTTCATATATTTACCAATATTTCACGGACCATTTTTGAGAAGAGTCTTACTGTTTTATATTTTAACACGTTTTTGGACCCCAGTTTGAAATCATCTCTTCTAGTGGACTTAAAGGAATAGTTCACCCAAAAATGAAAATTTTCTGAAAATGTACTCACCCTCAGGCCATCTAAGATGTAGATGAGTTTGTTTCTTCATTGAAACAGATTTGGAGTAATTTAGCATTGCACCACTTGCTCACCAGTGGATCCTCTGCAGTGAATGGGTGCCGTTAGAATAAAAGACCAGACAGCTGATAAAAACATTACAATAATCCACAAGTAATCCACACCACTCCAGTCCATTAATTAACACCTTGTGAAGTAAAAAGCTGCATGTATGTAAGAAATATGGACGACTTTTTAATTTTGAGGTGAACTATTAGAAAAAAAAAAAAGTGAAAATTATGTTATAATTTGCTCACACTCATGTTGAGTAAACTATACCCTTAAGTAAAAAGTGGCACAGGCTTACCCCACTCTATCCTATATTAGTATAAGCATGTGATCTGCATGTGTCCTCATCTTTTGCATGAGTCTTGCTGACTGTTCAATGTGAGTTCTAGTTGTTCCTTCATTACATGCTGCAGAAAGTTTCTTGTAACAGAAAAAATTACAGAATTACCAATTTAGCAAATACGTCAAATTCCCAGCTTAGAAATAAACCAAATGCTTATCGATGCTGAACACAGTGATGGCACATATGATCCATCTCAGCCTCTGGTTAATCCTCCAAAGCTGATGCAGCTCATTCAGGAGGGATAACTTTGACTGACAGCTATATGTTTAATAATTAACCTTATGCCACACCAAATAGACAACATTAGTCCTCTCTGTAAAGAGATTCAGAAGTGGGGAGTCAAGAGAGGACATTGTAGAGCAATAGGCTCTGGTTAAATAGGTTATATGAAGACTAAAAAACATTAGAAGAAATGTGCAGCGGTATGATGGGAGTTTAATTTGTGTGAGGTTCTACCAAATGCCCATGAGGGAAATTAAAACTGATGTAAAGTGGCCCAGAAAGAGCTGAATTAACACTTACAGCCCAAAGTAATTGCATTTAGTGCATATCAGTTACATTTTATCCTGAAGTTTTTACCAATGCAAGTAGGAGTTCATAGGGAGGGTGATTTTATTGCATAAGGATTATTAACAAATTTGTTTACTTTCTTTTCCAACTACAGATTTTTGGACCTCTGGAGTTTAATTTACATTTATGAATTTAGCAGATGCTGTTATCTTAGTAACAGTGTTGAACTTGCAGTGTATGAAGATGCAATGCTGCATAAAAAGCTGTAGTAAGCTGTAGTTTGTTGTACTTTAGTTTGATAGATAAACATCTGACTTTCGAAATTAATGTTACAGGAATCCATTTTAATGCTGAAAAAATATAGACTCTTTATTTATTTTATTATTTTACGGTTTACTTCATAGAAGCTTTTACATGATATATACAGTATATATAGTAATATATATATAGTAATATATATATATATATATATATACAGTCAAACCGAAATTTATTCAGGCACCTTCAACATTTCACACATTATCACAGATTATTCACTATAGTTTAGAAAATGGTAATAAAATATGACAAGACCTCAGATTTAAACTGTGTCAGAACAAATTCATCTTGATAATGTCAGATAATGTTTGGTCCCAAATCTTTATCAATTTTACTGGTAGTGCATTGTATGAAGAATGTTTGGGTATAATATGTCACAGTTTATTTTATTTTGCTATTCTCACTTACATAAATTAACTATAGTGTCCTGCACCCACTAGTAAAAAAAATATAAAAAATTATATCTGGTCTCTGAATAATTTTTCCCTCATTTATCATAATTAAATTAATTTCTGGGAAAAAAGCATAAGGAACACCATTCATCTTACACTTGAGATATAATATATAATATACTATTTCAATGTTTATTAGGGCTGTCAATAGACTAAATGGACAAACCAAATAATAAAATAAATTAAAAATATATATATATAATAATAAAAATATGTTGTGTGTGTGAGTTTATATATATATATATATATATATATATATATAAACTCACACACACAACATATTTTTATTATTATATATATATATTTTTAATTTATTTTATTATTTGGTTTGTCCATTTAGTCTATTGACAGCCCTAATAAACATTGAAATAGTATATTATATATTATATCTCAAGTGTAAGATGAATGGTGTTCCTTATGCTTTTTTCCCAGAAATTAATTTAATTATGATAAATGAGGGATTGGAGATGCTTTTCTGTGTGTTGTACATGGGTTCCACAATATCTTTTTCAAAGGCTTTTAAAAAGTGGTGGGAACAAACTCGCAACTTGGCAAAATGTTGTGGGAACATGTCCCACATCCACATATTCTGTAATAAAACTTATTTTATACAATGTTTTAATATATTTAGTACTAATTAAATATTTTAATAAAATTAAATATTTAATTAATTAAATATTTTAATAAACTATACATTTATTTTATTAAAATATTTAATTAATTAAATATTTTAATAAACTATACATTTATTTTATTAAAATATTTAATTAATTAAATATTTTAATAAACTATACATTTATTTTATTAAAATATTTAATTAATTAAATATTTTAATAAACTATACATTTATTTTATATTTACAGAAATATTTTATTAAAAAGGAGTACTGTACTTTCATAAAATGGGTTCCCTTTCATGGGAACTTCGAACTGCGTCCTCTAGGGGTCGCTATGGGGAACGCCTCGTCGTGACCCGTGTCTGAAGCATACATTGAAAAAACACCAACTCGTTGGCCGGCGACAGCCATGACGTCGCTACCGGTGCGACCAGAGTATAAATCGGCGCCGGGAGCTACACATCATTCTCTTCTTCGTCTTCATTGACCGTTTTGTTTGAAGCGTGCATTTCTGTGGTAAGAGCGATCTATTCATCTCATTATGGCGAGCACTAGCAAAGCATTTAAGGATGTGTGCATCCGTGTTGACGTTGTTTAACATCTGATGACACACACGATCTATGCGTTGTTTTGTTTGGGCAAAGAGCACGCACGCGATGTCTCCGAGGGGGCAATCAGCGTGCACTGCGAGCGTTTTTTTCCAAAAAAAAAAAAATTTAATTAAAAAAACGCTCCGCTCTCGTTTGTCTCTCTTTTTGAGGAAATAGGGGCAGCCATCTGCTTCCCGCGATTCAGGACCCGCCGCTGCTGAGGCACGGAAGGGAATGAGCTCGTGGGGATCGCAGGTGGATCTGGCCGATGAGTTTGAAGGGGGGGTTTCCCTTTCGTATCGTCGGCTGTGCACGAGAGTGAGCCGCTGGAGGATGATGTTATTTCATTAACATTGTCTGATTCAGGGGCCATTGCTCCTGCGTATGATGAGCTCTTGGGAATTATGGATCGCGCCACGGCGAGGCTTTACTTGCCGTGAAGCGGGTGAAAAAGTGACGTCGCGAAATATCTCGATGAACGTTATTTTTCTGGCACCCACACGCACACATGTGTACCCTGAAAGGCAAATACAAAATAAACCTGTGAAGGGAGAGAATGAAGATGACCTTTGGATCATGTTGACGAACAGTAAAGCTTTAAAATCTTTCTGAGCAGCATCTTTGCTTGAGGCTGTATTGTATATTCACAATCGGTTTGCCCTTTAGTCAATCAAATGCAGCTTTAATGGACTCAAAGTCATATATTTTGTCCTATTGATATGCACTATGAGAAGCTGCTCGATGACTGAGCATCTGTCTCTCTTTGCTTTATGTAGATAGATGGAATTCATTTGCATGACTAACCAGTGACTAACCGCATGGATCAGTGCAGCTTTTCTCTTTAATTGGGTTATTGGGGGAATATGTTTATTAGTTGCTTTAGAAAATTGGCTGAGACACTAAGACAGAAAACTTTCTTTGGGAGGTCATTCCCCTGTCTGTGTGGATCATATTCAAGAAGATCAGCAGACTCTGAAATGTTTACAAGCTCAGATCTCTCTAAGGATCACAGACATTTCAAGGTAGTATCACAACCAATCTGGTATAACCATCTGGAGGACAAAGAAACTCATCATAACTGGAACGTAATCTAATTTGTTTAAAAGGG